GATGCGAACCGCTTTTGACTACATGGGAGTCCAGCGAAAGCCATTATGTTAACTGCTAGTCCCTTTGTTCTATTCAAAGGTGTTTTTATGTACAGCTTTACTGCATTTATGTTTCCTTATAATACTTAATGGGAGAGGTATTAACTGTTCTGTGGTCTACCTGTGTCATTTATTACAGGATTTAGATTTGCTGAGTAGATAAATTGGCAAATTCAGGAGTGCCAGTTTTGTTTTGGTATCCTTTTAAATTTACGTGATTTTAGGTTGATTGCGCAACCAAAAAAATGAACTGGTACTTTAAAGGTAGAAATTCCAGTTTTTGGTTGTCTGGTAACAATAACTTTTTGGCCTTAATTTATTTCAGATTTTAGTAGACTTCAAAGATGTTTATACAATCAGTTACAATCAACTATAGTCAGAACCAAAATGGATGTAAAATTTTAGGAAATCATAATGGAATCAGATTAGTTAAAAGTTAACTGAAACTAGGGTGGTATCAGGTATTAGTGTGACTTCCTTACTCAGCCTTAGTATTCTCAGTCTCAGGTGACATCAACCTTCACCAGTGGTGGTGAGAACTGAGTTACAGCCCTTGAAAGTGAAGCACTAACTAGTAGATGTCATCAGTCATTATAAACAATTCCTACAATTCCTATTAAAATGGGAATTTTTCAAAAGTTGGCTCCTCAAATGAACTGGATTTCAAAGACCTGTGTGTCAGTAGGGACCTTAACATTCTCAGCCCTGGGGCCAGCAGGTGGTGTGGTAGTTAAGGCACTGGACTCCCAAGGGGCAAACCATTGTCTGAGTCTGGGACTTGGAGACTTGAAAATCACACCGGGGTGCCTGTGCATACCCCAAATCCCAGAAGAATGGAGAAGTTACTGTTACATGGCCATCCCTCCTGGAAGGTGATTTCTCACTTTCCTTTTCACACTGGTGAAGAGATGGAATTAAAGTCTTGAATCATTTTGATAATGGTTTTGACACTTGTCAAAACAAAACGAAACAGCAACAAAACTAGCCTCTTGTCTCTCTGGGAGGCGCACTCGCCCTATGGCAAAAACCTTAAAAGAAAAAAAACCTTGGGCAGAAGCAGTAAAGGTCATGAAAGTGCCAGACAAGGTGGATGACGAACAGGTCACTTAGAAAGTAGTCAGTAGTGGGACCAACAGTTAGCATAATGGCTATGTCGCTGGATTCCCATGTAGTTGACTGCAGTTCGCGTCCCGGACCCGGTGGCTTAAAACTCAAACTCGGGGTGCGTGTGTGTGCATGCCCAAAATCCCGAAAGAATGGAGGAGAAGGGATTGCGGCATGACCCCCTGCCCTGGGGGGGGGTGATTTCTTGCTTTCTGTCTCTGTCTCCCTGGCGAGCGCATGTGCCCTGTAGCAAAAATCTCTAAAAAAAAAAAAAAAAGAAAAGAAAAGAAAAGTAGTCAGTAGTGTCTGTCTCTAGACCTTATGTCCCAGGTCTTTGAAAATAAATTGGTAGTATTTTACTGACTTTATCCAATTACAAGAGCAATGAGTATTTGTGATTTTAAAAGTGTAATATTATAATAAAAAAAAAACCACCTATGGCTATCATTTAGCATTTTGGTGTATCGGGGTTTTTTTTTTGCATTAATTTATGAAAAAATGATTCTATTCAAGCATTTTTAACTGACGGTTTCCATGTCAAATACTGTTATGTACATATTTTTTAGAAGACTGCATTTTTTTAGTCAATTGTTAAGATTCACCTGAATTTCAGGCATATTAAAATTCAGGAGAAAAACCCATAGAAATCAATGGCATATTACAGTTCTTTTTTTAGTTTTGCTATAGGTTGTATGTGCTCGCTGGAGACAGAAATCACCCGCTGGGGGTAATGACCATACCCTAAGCCCTTCTCCATTCTCCAAGTTTTGGGCATGTACGCACCCAGCATGTTTTACAAGTTGCCAGGTCCAGAACTTCAAATGTGGAGTTGACTATGTGATCCAGCTATCTTCACCACACCACTGGCTGGCCTGGCACATGACAGTAAAATAATGAGGTGACTTTAAATGGCGGCATCTATTGATTCCTTGAAATTCGGTGTTCTAGTGTACGGATGTCGTTTAACCAGGCCCCTAATAAAGGGCATCTAAGACTTCACCACTCCCCACCAGTGTAATCGATGCTGTTGAGGAATCTTGTGTTGACTTTGGGATATTTATACTGGTTTTATTAGCTGATGGCTATGAATGGAGTTGCTCATTTGAATTAAATATGCCCAGCCTCTCTCTAGGAAGGGCCAACTAACATTACTGGTTGTGAATACCAGTTTTCTTAATACTGGCTAGTTTTCTCTGTAATCTTTGCTAATCTGCTAAGTGGAAAATTGTATTTAATTTTCATTTTTTTATTACAGGTAATTGTTTTTTTCATGCTGACTGGATATTAATATGTATTCTGCAAGCTGCCCGCTCAGAGTATATTTTTCTTTGAATGTTAGCTTTTTTCACATTGACCTGTAAGAGTACTTTATTAGGGAAGCTATTTTTGACATATGTTGCAAATATTTTTAACTGTGTGTGTGAGTTTTGTAAGGTTTTGGTTTTAATCTAGACATTTATTCTAGTGGAGGCTGACAGGTGAAGAACCACCTTTCCCCCCATCAGTTAGCCAGTGGATTGAATTGTTTATACTTTTTTAGAGGAGTATCAAGAGCTTTCTAGTCTCATGTGAGAAAGTGCTGTACTCAGGAGGGTTCATCTGTCAGCTCTTCGTAAAGGTGGGTAATGTGGGACTGGCCACACAGTGCAGTGGTTAAGTGCCAGATACCACATGAACAACTGGGGTTTGAATCCTGGCCCTGGCAGCTTGGAAAAACAGAATCATGCCTTTGCATGCCTGAAATCCTGATAAGATGGAGAAATGGAGTGAAGAGAATTGTGGCATGATCACACCCCACTGGGGAAGTGGGGTGTTTCTCTCTCTGGTAAGCACAAGCATCCTCTGGCAATTAAAAAAAAGAGGGGATCAGCAGTTGGCATAATGGCTATGTCACTGGACTCCCATGTAATCAGCTGTGGTTTGAGTTCCAGACTTAGTGGCTTAAACTCAGGCCAGGCGCATGTGCGTGCATGCCCAAGATCCCGAGAGTAGAATGGAGGAGAAGGGATTGTGGCATGGCCTTCCCCCCTGGGGGGTGACTTCTTGCTTTCTGCCTGTGTGTGTCTATGGGGAGTGCATGCGCCCTATAGTCCTGCATGCTAGGAAGAGCAAACAGTCTTTGAAGGACTTGAGCAGTGATATTGAAACAGGTGACAACTGCATCAGGTGACGGACAGAACCTACTGGAGAAAAACCAAGAATCAAACACACAGAATCGAGTATAGCAGAATGTGCCTAGCTTGACATCTTCACTGGCCTCAGGGCATTGGTGAGTTACAGCTGTAGGCTGTTAATGGAAGCTGGACAATTGGGACAAGATGAAGAGAAGGCAGTCAAGGGACAAACTAGATATGGGTTTGATTTTCCTGTTTCATATAAAGTAGATTGAGGACCAGGAAATAGGATTTCTGACTTTTAGGGAAGAAAAGGTCCCTTCAAGGGACAATTCATCATGAGAGTCTCTACCTGAGACTTACTGGTGAGGATTCCCATAAATTTATTAACAATGAACTCAGGGCTGGCCCCCTGGTCTGGTGGTTAAGAGAGCTGGATCCCACATGGCTGACCCAGTGAGTCAAGTCCTGGCCCCAGCAGCTTGAAAGACATGCCAGGTGTATAAGTCCTTAACTAAAATCCCAATAGGGTGGAGGGAGGAGAGGAGATGGAATATTACTGTGGAATAAAAGCCCATCTGTGTGGATGTTCAGTGCTCCACCTAGTTCTGGGCAACCTAGCAATCGGATCTAGGGTTTTGATTGTGGGGTGAGAGATAAGAGGCAAAGGGGGGATTGTGGAAATTACTCAAGGCCATGGCAGAATAAGGTTGCTCATACTCTGTCATTCTTGAAAAGGACACTGGCAGAACAAGCTGCCAGAGGTGGGATCAAATACTAAACACCCTGACGTGTTAATATCACAGCAGTGCTGTCACTGAAAACTAGGGTAGATTGGGGCTGGGAGTGAAGACGAGCAAATGCAAACTCAATTGTCTCAGTAAAGAAAGCAGGAACTGGTGGACTGGCTTCTGGAACAGGAGTAAGATGAAAGCAGTGGCAAGTGACAATTTCCTTTTTATTGGTAGCCTACCGTAGGCCAGGCACAATGCTGGGGAAACATCGCCATAGTTCCTGCATGGTGTCTGCCGCCCAGCAGAGGGAGCAGGTGTATGGGAATTATGCTAGGGGAGCATGGGCAAGGTCTTAGCACCCCTAAAGACAGCCTTTAGGAGACAAATGAGGACTGCAGTATCACCTGAGGCTTTAAGGAAAGGGTGTGGGGGAAGTTGGGTGTTGGGGACATGGTGGGGGGTAGGTGAAGGGAGGGGAAGAGTGACTAGATGGATGACAAGTAATCAGACAGAGACCAAGAAGGGAGAAATCCGGTATTGTAGGAAAGCAGTCTAACTCCCACTGCCAACAAGTTAGCCTCCTTCCAAAGAGGTGACATCTGTCTTGGTCCATGGTCCATGGCAGTTAGGGGCATCCCATCCTGGGTGCGGAGAGAAAGCTGATGTTGAAATGCAAGGAGCTGTGGTATGGGGGTGCTGCACCTCAGCTAAGAGTAGATAGGAAAGTAAAGGAGGGACCATATGCTTTTCAAAGGAAACCTGAGAGAATTACATAGGCAGGGGCTTCGTAAAGTTCATGAATGGGACCAGTAGATTGTGTAATGGTTATGTCTCTGGACTCCCACATGGCCAGCTGTGGTTCGAGTCCTTGACTCGTAGGCTTGAAACTCATGCTGGGCGCGCGTGTGTGTACGTGCCAAAATCCTGAGAGAATGGAGGTGAAGGGATCACGGCGTGGTCACCCCCCAGGGGGTGATTTCTCACTTTCTGTTTCTGTCTCGCTCTCTGCCTCTGGTGAACACATGTGTCCTATAGCAAAAATCTCTAAAAAGTTTTAAAGTTCATGGAAAATGAGTGTTATAAAAATGCTGTGTGTGGATTTTAGCATTTTTGCACCAAAATAAACTAGTATGTTAATTTTTTCCATGATCTTTTTGAAGTCCCCTTGCATATTAAGTCTGGAGTAGCAGAAAGCAAGGATGAATACAGGGTTTCAACATAGACAGGCAGAGCAAATATTCATCACTTCAGTTTCTAGCACTCTGAGGGAGATCCAGTCAATCAAAGGCTGAGGATAACTATACAGTTTGTTTAGACACATTTCTAGTTTGAAATCTGGTGGCTTATATATACACACACACATACACTTGCAACAAATACTTCTTTCAATGAAAATCCAAAGGAGAGTGGAGAAGTTGTCTTGGCTCCAGTGATAGATGAGGGGTAGGGTCCAGCCTTGACGGGTTTAAGAGAGGTTACTGAGCTTTTCATTTTGTTCTTTTGGGAGGGGTACTAGAGGGCATCAGAAAAATCATAACGCAGTTTTGTATAGAAAAAAATACCTCATGACTTTTCAGACCGCCCAATATTAGTGGTTTAGATCAAGACTCAACCCCATCAGCTTGGAAATGCTTGTAGTCAAAGAACAGAGGCAGCCACAGCCAGAGGCAAGCTTTAAAGGAGCAAAACACGAATTATGTTCTGAATTGATGCTGTGGAATCAATTCCTGAGAATTGTCTTCCAGGCTCAATCTGAGCTGTCTGAGGATTAGCTGAGGTCTCCTCAGGGAGTGAAAAGGGAATGCCTTTGGGAGGGCCAATGTGACTAGTGGCTACTGTGCAGGACAGAGCAGAGAACGTTCCCATCATCTCTCAGGATGTTCTACAGGACAGCACTAATCTAGAGCTAATGGCAGGTGCTTTATCAAGAGCTGTTGCAGGAACGGTCCTCTGGACTTTGCCATTATTAGTACAGGTTTTCATTTCCCAGCCAATATAGCCAAGGAAGTTACCAGAAACCTAAGTTGGAGTCTCTAGGTGCACCTCATGGAGGACATCCTCTTCAGATGAGGGATCTGGATGAAGGCCAACTCTCAATCCCCAAGACATACCCAGAGCTGGCATGCCCACCTTCTCAGTCCTGCCAGACCTGATGGTAGCACCCAGTGACATGGCCCCCAAAGTAGGGGCTGAAGAGAAGGGGTATGCTGTGCTGGCAGGGGGCACATGGACTTGCCAGGCTTGGAGCCTTAACATTCAGAGCATGAGCGAGTCACACCCCATCTTTAGCCGATCCAAAGTCAGTTTCTCACCACAGGAGAAGGTGAGCGGGTGAAGAGAGCTGGAGGGGAAAACAGAGAAAGCGATGTGCTGAGGCTCCAGTTCTTCCGGGGGGTCAGTGAGAGAAGCCTCACGTGAAGGGAGGTCATCTCTGTTGGAGGGGAGATAGCCCTCGTAGGTGGGCAGGTAGTCCACTGCGAGGACCGTCACTGGATGCGCTGGGTGCGCTGGCTTGGAGTCGGGGCTCCTGCTCCCCAGCACCTTGTACAGATTCACTAGTTTTCGTGTCTCAGCCATGAGGGCTCCTGGAGGTGATGGATCTGAGACATTAGACACCGTGTCTTCCTCATGACCTTGGACCCCTTGTCTCCCTTCTGGGAAGTTGGGGTGTTGGGGATGTCTGAAGACTGGGACCACTTGATGAAGGACTTCATTGATGATCAGAGGCTCGGGTTCCTCAGGAGTGGACCAGGCTGTCAGGAGCCTTTCCAAGGGTAGCTGTGTCTTCTCCTGAGTGGAGAGAGGAGGAAGAGGCTCATGTTGCTGTGTAAGAACTTAACGAGTCACTTCCCGAGGGTTCCTAGATGCCTCCCAAATTGTGCTGCCTGCTTGGCCTCATATGGGATCCTGCAGGCCCCTGACTTTGTGAGGTAATTAATATTGTCAGAGAGGCAGAGACAGGAGCCAGGGACTCCTCTCTCAGCCCCGGATGACAATGATTCACTTCCTCGCTTCACCTTCAACCAAACTATTTCCAGCATGGATCAAGTGGTTCCACCTGCTTTTTCTTTAGGCCAGAGGCAGGGGTAGGTGCAAAGGAACAGCTGCGTTTGCCTCTGTCTAGGGAACAAAGACCTTAGAATCGAACACACGGTGATGACGTGACACTGGAGCCGAGTCCTACAAAATGTGCAGTGTTTGGCAGAGGGAGATGATAGGCAGGAAGAGCTGTTATGTTCTGGAACCTACTGGTTTCTTCTCTTTTTTTTTTTTTTTTTTTTTTTTTAAAGAGGTTTTTTGCCTTAGGGGACATGTGCTCACTGGAAAGAGAGACAGAAACAGTAAGAAGAAAAGTGAGACACTCCCCACCCCCGGAAGATCGCCATACCACATTCCCTTCTCTTCTCAGGATCTTGGGCAGGCATACACACGCACCTGGCGTGATTTTCAAGCCACTGAGTCTGGGACTTGAACCGTGGTTGGCCATGTGTGAGTCCAGTGAAGTAATCACTACACCATCTGCTGGCCCCACCTATTGGCCCATAACTTCTGTTTTAATTTTTTTAGTTTTGCTATATGGTGTGTGTGCTTCCTAGGGAGAGAGAGGAGGAGGGAAAGCGAGAAAGCACTTCACAAGGGAGATGGCCATGCCACAATTCCCTCTCTTCCAATCTCCTCTTAGGATTTTGGGTATGCACACAAGCACCTGGGGTGTCCCCAAAGCTGCCTGGTCTGGGGCTCAAACCATGCTGTTTGACATGTGGAATCCAACCGCTTTAACTACCATGCCAGCAGTCTGCCCCATACTTGTAATTTCTTATGACTGGAAAAGTGCGGTGTTGGAAATGGGACAGGTTCACATAATAACAATCACAAACCTTTTGAAGAATGTTAAGGGGTCTGGGTTTTGGTACAACTATTGAAAGGTTTCAGGCAGAGTGATATCCTTGTCAGATCTGCTTTTAATAAAGACCCATCTGGGGACCAGCAGTTGGCATAATGGCTATGTCACTGGACTCCCATGTAGTCGATCTCAATTCAAGTCTCAGACCTGGTGGCTTAAACTCATGCCAGGTGCGTGTGCGTGCGTGCCCAAGTACCCAAGAAAAGAATGGAGGAAGAGGGATTGCAGCATGGTCATCCCTTCGAGGGGGTAATTTCTCACTTTCTGTCTCTCTGTTTCTCTCTCTTTCTGGCGAGCGCATATGCCCTATAGCAAAAACCTAATAATAATAATAATAATAAAGACCCATCTGAAACAACTTTTTGAAGAAATTTTGTTTGTTTAGCTATTTTGTTAACTAATTACTTCATTCTCTCACTGACTTTCTCAGCATCCTGTCAGTTATCTGTTCTTCAATGGTATAACTTCTTTCCTTTCCAAACTCACTGCCAATTCCTTAGTCCGAGCCCTCGCACTTCATCAGCCTTTCTTTACTGGACTCTATTTGGGCTCTCCTTATATTTGAGAAAGTTGTTTTACACCCCAACCGCCTGATCTTTCTAAAGCAGAGCTCCAGAGCCTTCCATCCCAGCTCCCACGTGCAGGAAGGATGCCTCCTAAGGATGCCTGTGGCTTCCTCGACCCCCCCAGATTTCCTTCAGAAGCCACTCTTGCAGCCACACAGACCATCTACTACACGTGCCCTTTTCCCAGGCCCATCAACCTACTCTCGCTTCCAGGGCCAGCCTTCTCCCTGCCGTCTGCTCCATTATCCCCTGCCTGACACCTTCTCTCCCGTTAAGTCCCTATGGCTGGTCCTTCCACTGGACTCATACACCAGTGATAAAACTACCTGTTGGGGCTTGCCACGATGTCCTAGCAGTAATGCAATGCTTTGTGATGCTAGGGCCACATGGGAGGCCCTGGGTTGGCATCCTGATGTCTAGCAGTGCATGCTGGGCACACATGTGTGCCCATGGTCTGGGCTAGCTGAGACTGGGACTAGGATTATGGCAAAATAATCCTATTGGCGGTGCCTCTTTCTGTTTCTTTCTCTTTTGTCTGTCTCTGTCTTCCTCTCCCATGGAAGACGCAAACAATCAAGTAAGCAAGAAGGAAACCACCCTTAGGTTCTTGGCAGGGAGGCTTTGTCCTGTCACTCTTTTTCATATGTCTCTGTCATGTATACAGGGACCATGTCTTCAGAGAGGAGCCAGATGACAAAAGATAGCTTTGGGACAGGACAACCCCTGGGATCTAGAATCAACTCTGACACTCTATGCTTGGAAAAATGCCTCTAACCTCTTAGCCTCAGTTCTTTCATTTGTCAAATGAGAAGTTGTGCAAGAGCAGCTTAGTTTAGATCGACTTCTGAGGTCCCCTACTGTACCTTGGGCTTAGCAAACGTCAAGGAAGTGAAGGGTTGGTGTGAGGGTTAAGATGGCTGGATCCCACATGACTAACTTCATGGTTCAAGTCCTGGAACTGGCAGTTTGGAAAATGCCGGGAACATGTGTATGCATGCTCAAAATCCCTAGAAGAGACTCAGAGAGAAGGAACGGTGTGGCTGTCCCTCCAGGGAGTGCTTTCTTACTTTCTGTCTCTTTTTTTTTTTTTTTGAGAGGTTTTTGCTATAGTGCACATGCACTCGCCAGACAGACAGAGAGAGACATAGAGACAGAAAGCGAGAAATCAACCCCCAGCGGGGATGGTCACGCCGCAATCCCTTCTCCTCCATTCTCCTCTCGGGATCTTGGGCACACACGCACACGCACCCGGCGTGAGTTTTAAGCCACCGGGTCCGGGACGTGAACCACGGTCGACTACATAGGAGTCCAGCGACGTAGCCATTATGCTAACTGCTGGTTCCCTCTCTGTGTCTCTTCAGTGACACATGTGCCCTATGGCAAATTAAGAAGAAGAAGAAGAAGAAGAAGAAGAAGAAGAAGAAGAAGAAGAAGAAGAAGAAGAAGAAGAAGAAGAAGAAAAAAGTAAAGGATGGTACCATCGTGGGACAGAGTCCTGCAAAGGGCTGGTGAGCTAGAGGTGCATGTGTGTTTGTCTCTGGGAGCCTGCTGTTTTCTGATCACTGCCCAAACTGGTCCTGGCACGTTAGGCTGGCTTGGAACAGGGCTGGCGACTATGTAGGCTAAGCTGGCAGATGTGGGAGAGATTACATGGGTGTGCAATGGCTTCTTGTTTTCACAAGGTGAGGTGTTCGCACTGCCTTCCTGAAAGCTTTGGCAATCTTGATAGAGGCTGCGTCTCTGAACTTCTACATAGCAGGCCCTCTGGCTGACAAGCCCTGGAGGAAGGCCTCTTAAACCATTACTGGCTCAGGAACCTCCCGGATACTATTTTAAGCTTTTATAAACTGGATCACATCCCAGAGATCCCCTTTATGATTTCGCCTTTTCCTTCTGAGCTTTGGGGCATGTGGTTTTTCAGCCACATCTTCAGAAATGGTAGAGGATGTAAGGTCTGAGAGCTCAAAGCATATGTTGCTGGAGGAGAAGGAGAGACTATTGTGTTCCGCTGGCTGCCTCAGCCTTGCACAGGAGAGCAATTGGATTCTTTAAGAACAGCCTACCCACTTCAAGGGTCAAGCCATGAGGATTCTGAGGCTTCCTCAGGGCCTTCATCTTGAAGGGCATGTGTAAGGTACTTCATTATTAAAACTTTCTGATTTACTGGTTATTTTTTGCAAAATAAATACACGCAAATTTTTCTTTCAAAAATGTAAAGTTCAAAGGAACATGCAACAAAATTAAGTGACCCTTATCCTCCCAACCTCCTTCCCGAGGCTACCATCATTGGTTTCGTATGTATCTTCTGTAGGCTTCCAAAAATACCTTGTGCACGTGCCACATATTCATGGGTGTGTATAAATCACCTCCTTTTAATACAGATGGGAGCCCACTGTAGACAAGTTAGACAATTGGTATTTTTGCTTTTTTTTTTTTTTCACTTTTAGGTGTCTTGGTGATCTTCAAGCAGATATAGGTCTCATTTTTTTTTTTAAGTAGTTGCATAATATCCTATTGTGTGGATACACCCAAAATGTTTAACCCACACCTGGTGAACCTTTGCATTATGCCGTATATATATGTGTGTGTGTGTGTGTGTGTATATATATACACACACCAATTTATATATATTTATATATTGGTACTTGCCAGAGGGCTTGTGGGCTTGTGTGCTGGCCAGAAAGAGACAGAGAGACACTGAGAAAGCACCTGCTAATAGGGTGTGGTCAAGCTGCGATCCTTTCTCCTCCATTTCTCCATCCTGTCCGAATAGACATGTTCCTGTTATGTTTTTCAAGCCACTCTCTCTGGTACTCCAAAAGGGTCAGCCATGTGAGATCCAGCTCCCTGAATGGGAGCCCCTAGGCTACAGGTCAGCCCTCAATTTTTGGCTTCTATTTATAATGCTGCATTGAACATATTTATGCTATACAGCATTGGACATGTGTGTGCCAAAGTCTTACTTTTGCCAACCCTCTGTGGATCTGTCTCAGCATCTCTTCTCAGCTTTTTGGGCCTTTCTTTTTTTTTTTTTTTATTGTTTTATTGGGACAAGCGGTTACCATAATGC